CAATTATAAAATTATAATGGAAATTGCCAAGTTTAAAGTATTCTTACTTACTTATCTAACATTGTACTGTTATTACTTAACCCCCAGGAAGATTATAAGTAATTGGACAAATTTTATAAAATATAAAAAATATACAAGATTACAAGCAAGTATAATACTTAAGACTTTTTTGTGATGAAGGACCCCGGCTGAATAAATCTTTTAATGAGGAACTTTGACATGGAATGAAGAGGGAGACTTACCATTTCGTTTACGTTTCTTTTCGACGACATGTGCAGCTTGCGCTGTCTGTGTGTTGGAGGACGTCGATCCTGTCGAGGAGGACCGATCCTCTGTAATAATGTTGTCTGAAAGTGTGCCGTCACTGCGTTTGCTGGTGCTGAAGGCATTGGTATAGATGTTGGCGGAGCCTTCAGCCGCATTGTTATGGACGGCGGTGCCCTCTCTGGCCATTGGCTGCGGGCCGCTTCCAGATTGCGCAATATGCGAACGCCTTGAATGCGTTAACGACGTCTCATTACTGACTGCCGTCTCGATGTTTGCAGCCTGAGTGGCTGCTAGTTGCTTCCGCATTGTGCGAGTGAGTACCATTGTGCTCTGCTGTGTAAATGACGCGCTGAGGGGGGGGGGAGTGGTTCCTCGGAACTCTTGTTGTGTGGGGAGTAGGGGAATTGAGCTGAGTTGGTTGACTTTGAGAGCCACGCTCTTTATATGCCTTCACGATATAGGGTCTGAGCGTCATCAAGACACATCAGTACTAGTCTAACCATCTTCGTTAACCATTGTCTTCTCAGTCTAATCATTGCCTATTTTTCAAGGGCGGATATTCCTGAGGCCACGATTGGTGAGTATTGAAGGGAATGCAGTGCAATTTTTTGACATGCATAGTCTGGTTATATTTTTCTTTTCTTCTTCTCTTGGACTGCCTCGTGCTTTACCCTAATCCTGTGGAGAAGAATGGAAAGGAAGGGGGGGTGGGGGGTGTTACAAATTGATGGATTGGATTGTCTTCAGTAGTTGTGTACTTTTTGTATCTAGACCCTGAGTCCCATGACCCAAATTTGGTTAGTCTCAACTGGCCACTCACAGTTCTACTCACATTTCACTAAGTCAAAAAAATGCCCATTCTATAGTATAGATATATGTTCCCCTCCCTAAGCCTAACTCACACCCAACCTAACTATTATGAGATGATTAGTTTATCAACGGACGAACCACGAGACAATGACTTCATAATGTCTCAGTTAGAATACATACAATATAAGGACAAGAGACACTGAGCAGTCAATCGTCACCTCACCCCTTGTCTATGCATGCCCCCCTTAAGTTCTCCCTCTCAACAGGTTATGAGCCTTGAGCTCCCTGCATACACGCATCCACTGTACACTCTAAACTCTTTACTTGCATACATTTGCACACATTTGCATCATGGTTCCCCCATGTACAGATACACACTGTAAACCAGCCAATGTACCTAAATACTTTGGTCAAAACATTACAATGCTTAAGACCAAAGCAAACTACAAGATGTGGCACTACCACATTGTTTCTAGTGTTGCAGCTATGTGCTTCAAACACTTACTAAAGGATGAACTGCAGAACGAAGCTGAGAGGGAGATGGCTAAGGCCATTCATACATGCATAGTCAATAACATCACTAACACAATATTGGCAAACTATATGCACTTTGATACGTCTATCCCTCAGTTAATGAAAGTGCTTGAAGAATGCTTTAACCCCCAGACGGCACGTAAAAAGGCCATCAATGAATCAGCACTGTTTATTTGTAGAGACCATGTAAAACATTTCAGACATACATTAGACAGACTTGAGGAAGCATACACAACTCTGTCTGCTAACAGTGATCCACCACACAACTCTACATACAAAGCAGTGATATTGCTTGCTACTCCTGAGCAATATACACACATAGTAAATACAATAATACAATCTACTGATGCCCAAAACAAAGGCAAACCAGTCAATGAACATAAGAAAGTCAAACTGAAGTAACTAATCCTTACATTGCAGAATGCCTACAACAATTACTGTGCTAAACGAGCACAAGATTCTAATGATCAGACAAAGAATAATGCATGCATTAATACAATGTATAAAGCCAATAAGTAGAGGAAATTCAATCTGCCAAATCTGTTCAATCTGACAAAAGCAAAATGTTTCAATTACAGAAAAACAGGACATTTCTCTAAGGAATGCTGCAAACCTCCTACTGAAGCTACAAAGCTTGTACACACTAAACATTAGGCTAACATTGTGTATAAAACAAATCAAACTGTAGAAAACACAATGAACACATTTATTATTGAAAACCCAAACGAAAACAATGTTGAATTAAAAGAAGGCAACATTGAAATGAACAATAATGCCTATGCTCTTATTCTGAGCAACCAGGACAAACAATTCGAACAATACGTTTCCTGGGTATGTACCAATGTATTTACAAATACAATCATAGCTAACAAGAAATCCTATACACAAACAATGGATTTACTCGATTCTAGTACATCAATACATGCTACTCCTTATCTATTTCAATTAACAGATGTACACAACATAACTCCTACAATTGTAACTATTGCAAATAGGTCAACAATGACTCTTAATCAAGCTGGATCTATGTGTATTGAAATCCCGAAGAATATACAAGAAAAAAGTGTCATAACATTACAAAACGTCTATTACTATCCACAAATGACCTTTTCCCTCATAAGTCAAGTGCTACTATGTAGGGAAGGTTATTCTTTTATGTTTACAAACAATAATTGTACTATAACATCACCATGTAACAAATACATCAGACATATACAATTGAGAAATAACTTGTATATTTTGTACAATAATCATTTATTAAAAACAATGAACAAACTATCTATTTATGATATACATAAACGCCTCAGACACATAAGTTACAATTATATTAAACAATTATTAAAGACACAACCAAGTGTACTATCAACTAAAATAACAAACTACAAAGAAAAAGAATGTATTGAATGTATAAAAGCAAATATTGAACGTACACCAATACCAAAACTATGTCAATCTCCTCTTGCAAATCAATTTGGAGATCTTATTCATATTGATATCATTGGTCCTATTGAACTGTACACATATAAGAACATACACTACTTATTAACAATTGTAGACGATTCTACTTGTTAGTGCATAATACTCAAATTACAAACAAAATCTAATGCATATACACAATATGTACAATGGACAACTAAAATATTTACACAGTACAGAGTTAAAATAAAACTTTTACAAAGTGATAATAATACTGTATTCCTTAGTAAAGATTTCCAACAATATTTAGATTCACAAGGAACAAAACAAAGATTAACAGTACATCATACTCTACAACAGAACAGAATAGTGGAACAAACACATAAAACTATATTTAGAGGTGTAAGAGCATATCTAACATCTACTGAATTACCATTTACATTATGGGCTGAA